TATATATATATATATTTCAAATGATATATTTCATTTTTTTTGCTTCACTTGGAACAGCATATTGATTTCCAGCTTAAGATGAATAAGACCTTGGATGATTGGAACAAAAAGTTTGTGAAGGTTAAATACCTTCAGGGGGGATAAAAGAAGAAATATAACAGCAAAGTGAAGGAGGCGAAGGCAGTGGAGGATCAGAAATCAAGATATATTACAGTTATAGAAGAGTTCAAGAAATCTTATGCCTTCAAGATAATTATTGAGGATCATGTTCAGGAAGCTCTCAATCATATTTATGGTGTAGAGGTGAAGGCTTTGGAGGTAGAGTTCATAGAGGGTGTCACACCCCAAGATCTAACTTAGAAAAATTATTCAGTCGATTCTTTAAATCATCAACTACCAGAGCTATCTATAGTCATCAATCAATGATAAACAGACTAACAAAATCAATAATTTAAAACATCATGTAAACATTCTATTCATTCACAAAAGTTCATTTATAATACTCAAGATTTACATATTAATCACATATATCCATCCAGTCCTGAGTACAAAAAATAACTATAACAAAAACCTGAAGATTCCTTATCAACCTCAATCTCCCGCTCCATTTCCCTGACCTAAAATCATTAACCACATATAATGAGCTTAAAAAAGCCCAGCAGGTCACCAAATACCTACAACTGAAATCAAAGAACGGTACGGAAGTAATATGCATGTCAATCAGTCAAATCTTAGAAGTCACTTACACATGATCATTGAGTCAATGCAGAAATAGGAATCAGTACAGAAACAGTAATCAATGCATAAACAATATTACTACAGAAACAGTAAATTCCTTAATCGATAGTAGAAGAATCAGTAAATAGTTTAAAAGTCCGTGAAGCTCATGAATTAGTACGTGCATCAAATCTCTATAGTAGTTGTTGTATTTATAATATCAGTCAATTCATTAAAGAGGTCATCATATCAGTAAAGAAATCCTCATATCGGTAATATCAATCAAATTAGTCAATAAATTATTATGTCAATAATACCAGTAGTATAAAGTGAGACCATCGATACAATAATATCAGTCGGCATAAAACATCAAATCAATACTATCATTTGTGACTGTTGAAATCAAACAAATGCAATAAAACTATATCAAAACATACACTTGCAATTCCAGTTATTCAATATCATGTGCTCAGTGAATT